ACCTCTAAGAGAGGAGCTGGTCCTGTCTGTATCCATGAAGTGCCCGCGATGGATCAGGAGCCCGTGGTGGCTGGAAACCCCGGGCTCTCGGTAAATAAGGCAGCACAGGGACAGGTTTGCAGCCCAAAGATGAGCATGCAGTGTCAGCTTCCCACCTCGTCCTGGATAAATGGGGGGTGACAAGGCGAGCGTCCAGGGGGAGTCAGCTGTGGCTGCCGTGTGCCTCTGGGTCTGGTTTCCACGTCCACAAATAACTCAGCCCCCTCGACAGGCGGGGAACACGGAGCCCAGTGTATGGGGCTGGAGCTGGCCGGAAGGAGGATGCTACCACGTGGCTGGCAGCCTGCTCCTCTGATATAACGGAGGCTCCCGGCTCAGAGATTATTCTAGCCATGGATTTATGGCCCTTCGGGAAGGCGGTGGGAGGGCGCTATGGACTCAGCCCCACATGGTGTTTGGCACTGGGGTCAGTGGTTGGAAACGCCTGGCCTGCTCCTTGGGAGGGAGCATTTCGCCGCAGGTGGGCGGGTCTGAGGCCCCCAGGGGCCTCTTCTCCAGGCGGGCTGGCTGCCTCAAGTGATGCTGCCCGGGGCTGAGGACACAAAGTCCATTTCACGCTAATGGGCTCAGGCCAGCGGGAAACTCTGTGGGACCCACTGTGGCAGGGGCCTGGGCCAAGCGGGACGGGGCATGGGGCTCCCCTTCCCTCCCCATCCCTCTGTGGGCCACACGCTCTTCCCAGGGAGGCCAGGGGGAGGGTATCTCTGTGGCAGGTCCTCCAGAGGGAGAGGGGAAGGAGAGGGTGTCGGCCAGGGGGTTTACCGCACTTTGAAGCAGGTTCAAATCCAAGTGCTGCTAAACAGTGGCATCAGGGGCTCCCCTTGGCGCCCACGTGGCACAGGCCAGGTTACTCAGTGCTCGGTGCCTCAGTATTCCTATCTGTATATGGGGGTCAAGGTAGTAGCTTCTCAGGGTGCTTGGGGAGAGTCAGGAACATCGGGCAGCTGGGCCCTGAAGCTCCCAGAGCCCCCGGACCCTCCCCCTCCCGACTCTACACACAGGCAGCTCCTGGCCCCCTGGGTGGGAATTGGCGGCTGCCCTGTGGAGGAGGCCAGTCGAGGATCGAAAGCGTCTGTCTCTCTGCTTCTCTGCTCGGCGGAGCTCGTGTTCCCTGAGCGCCTACTGTGTGCCAGGCCCGGAGCTGGGCGCCAGGTTCCTGAAAAGGCGTCAGAGCCGGGCCTGTCCTCTGGGAGCTCACGGCCCAGCAGGCGAGGGGGCCAGGGTTTGGGAGGGCCCAGGGGCTGGAGAGCCCTGGACGGGGAGGGAGGAGATGGCACCAGAGGAGCCTGGACCAAGTTCTAGGGTCAGAGATTGGTGTCTAGGAGGGAAGAGCAGGGCGGCTGTCAGTACAGGGGAGCTCTCAGTGTTGGGGGCTGGCACCTCATGGGCAAACCCAGAGGATGGAAGAGCTTTGCTGCCAGCGCTGAGCGAATGGGCGTCGAGGGATGTCTGAGGGGCTGGACGCCAGGTGAAAGGTGGACTCTGTCCTGCAGGTAGGGAGGGCGGTCTGGACGGCCCCAGGCAGAGGGGTGACCGTTTCAAAAGGTCTGGGGCCTTGGCATCCCTGGCGCCCACGAGGCCCTCTGCCCCCCGCCCGCCCCCCCGTACCTGGACGCTCGGGTCTGGCTCTGCTAGGAATCTGTCTTCCCCGGAGGTGGGCAGACCCCACCCCAGTCTACACACCCTCCACCCGGACCACCCACTGCAGGCTGCGGCCACCTGACGCCTGGGAGGCTGCCTGCAGGGCCTCCGGCTCTGGGCCCCGACAGAGCAGATAAAAATGATGAGATGTGTGTTCTCTGACACTGAGACCCAGACTCCCGTGTTTGAGGTAATTGGAAAAAGCCCTTCCTGCTGACCTCGGTGCGTAGGTTACAGACCTACCCTCAGGCCTCTGCCCGCAGCTTGCCGCGCCTTGGGAGGTGGCCGGTGTTGAGGGCTACGCCTGGGTGCAGCACCCATGGGCGTGGGGCATCTGGTGGGTGTTAGGGAGCTTGGGACCGGGGAGGGAGGAGGGGACGTCGGTGGGGCCTGCTTCGGCTCCAGTGGAGCCGCACTGTGGCTGGCTGGCCCGGGGATGTGTCTGTGCGTGGCTGGGGGCTGCGGGTACGGTCCTCGCTGTTCTCAGACCTTGGCAGCACAGGGAGGACATCGGGTGAAATTGAGGTTAACGTTTCCATTAAACCTGGACGGATTTCCACTGGCTAGAGGGGGCTACCTGTGCTGTGGGCTGCAGAGCAGGGGGCCAGCCTGCCGCTACGCCCCTGCACCTGCACCTCGCCTCCTGGGAGGCCGCGTGGCCCGCTGTCCCCCACCCCATGGCCCTTCCTCCCCCTCGGATGAGTAAAGGGCCCTCGCTGATGTTCCCTTTACAGCTGAGCTGTAGTCAAAACAAAACACAGCCCCCCACTCCCTGCGGTCACTGCTCTTGCCGTGTGCGTGCTGTCTGCTGGATGAGTCCTGTCTGTTGGCCTTTGGTTCTCAGCCCGTTTCTGTGAATTCTCATCTTCCATCTCCTTCCCGTGACGAGCCTGCTCAGGAGACTTTGGGCTCTGGTATCTGGGGAATGTCTCCAAAGAGATTTATGGCGCTTCCCCCTCCCGGGCCCCTCCCTCACCCTTAACGGGCAGCTCGGGTCGGCGGGGCTGTTAGATCTGCTCTGGTCCTGGAGCTTGGAGGACGGAGGTCTGGGCTGGGGACTGCGGCCCGGAGGCCGGATGTCAGCTTTGGACAGCGAGACATTACTGGCTAACAGTGCAAGTGGCCCAAGGTGACCCAGGGAGAGTGAGATGCACGGCTGGGGCTCTGCAGATGGCCAGGCTGGGCGCAGGCTCTGTCCGCAGACACGGCCACTTGACCGGCGCACGTGCCCTCAGCCAAGCCCTCCCTGCCGGCAAGGTGGTCTTCTTAACCCCGTCTTGTGGGTGAGGGCTGCCCTGTCTCAGACCCACCCAGTCACACTGTGAGAGTTGGCCTTGGGTCTGGGGTCTCCAGACCTGACCCGGGTTCTCCAGGGTCTGGGGACGCCAGGCTTAGTCCTCTGCCTCAGATGGCCTTGCCCGTGAGGCTTCAGCCCTGTTTCCCTGGCAGGAGACAGGGCAGCTGTGACCAACGGGGTGTGTGGACTCCTGGGCTGGAGAGGACGCTGTGGTCCCCGTGGGCTGGGGAAGCCAGAGCTGTGGGCAGCAGAAGTGCTTCCGTGGTGGCCACCCTGGTCATTGAGTGACCTGGCCCTGCCCTGCCGGGTGTGGGTTTCACCTGGAGACCCTGAGGGTGCGAGCCAGCTGGGTGGAAGGAGCAGGTCCAGGTAGGCTCCCTGGGCCCAGCAGTCCTGCCCAGCCCTCTGCCATGGGTGCCAGCTGGGAACCACGGTGGGGGGGACATTGGGGGTGTGCTGAGCCCTGCAGAGCTGTTGACACACAGCGTAAGGGGGCTCCAGGAAGCTGGAGGCCCCTGCAGATGGCAGAGGGGCTGCCTGCCTGAAATCACCCTTCCTCAACCTCCATGCCCACCCCAGCCGGGGGTTGAGGAGAGGGCACTGGGCTTGAGGTCAAGGTTGGTCTGACCTTGCTGCATGACCTCGGGCAAGGCTTCCAACCTTCCCGGACCAAGTAGGACTAAGGGTGGGAGTCGGCCTGCCATCACCCTGGCCACGTTTCCTCCTGGGACCAGGGCTCTGTGGGTGGTGTGGCCGGCAGGCAGGCTTGCTTCAGATCCCACCTCTGACCCTCACCCTGGGGAGTGGCTTATACTCTCTGGAGCCTCAGTTTTCTCAGCTGCAGATTGGGTTAATAAGACCCGTGACACAGGGTGCTGATGGGAGCAGATGTGATCACAGCGTAACTCCGCATGTCTCACGGCTGCTCTTGTCTTGGGTGAGGCGGGGCATCCGTCTGCCTCTGCCTCTAGGATCCTGAGCTGTTTGCTGAAATAACGAGGGAGCTCCCACAAGGATGCTCCCGGACCCACACACTTACTCCCAGCGTGACCGTGTCTCTCCAGCTGTACGGGCCCCAGTGCACATATCGCATCGTGGCTGAGGAGGCTGCTTTCTGGGGAGAGGCCGCTGTGCCTTTAAGAGGACACCAGTTAAAGACACCAACTTGTCCCTGGTGTGTGCGCCTGGCCTGCCTCGGCAAACACACGATAAATTACCACTTCCCAGGCCGCCTGCCCCGGGCCTCCCGACAGCCGTGTCTTATTAACATTTATGTTGCGTTTTGTGCGGCTAATATCGTCTTAGAGAAATTAGGGGGAGCTTATTCGTGTTTGATTTACCGGCAGGAACCCTGGTGAGCACGTTTTCGTTCACGTATGTGGGGCCCCAGGGGTCGGGCATCCTGGGAGGACCAGGGGAGGGGCCTTAGCATGGACAGGCCTCCCTGGCCGCTGGGGACGGTGATCTGCCGAGATGGCCCCCTGTAGGACCCGGGCGGACACGACACTGCCATAAGGAATGGGCTGGCCGTGTGAGAGCATGTCCCCGGCTCCTTGCTAAGGGCACGCTTCTGTTACGACAAGGCCATAAAACAGCCCTGCAGGTGCCACCAGCTCTGCATCTCCACTCGCTCACGTGCCTGAGTTATTAAGGGGGCCTGGTCAGGAAGCACGAAATTAGTCATGACCCACAGGACCCCAGGGACACGTCCACACTGCCTGTGTGTCTTCTGTGTGCTGGGCACCAGGCCAAGAGAGGGTCACAAGACACAGTCCTGAGTCCCTGGGGGACCTCGGGGTCTGGGGGTGGATCCCGTGGGGCCTGAAGCTTATGCAATTCGGGGGTGATGGGGGGGAGTATTCTTTAACAAAGGAAACCTAAAAATAAAAATATCACATGAGTTCCTGGGCCTTGCAAGAGCCCGTGTGAGTGCAGGGCCTGCACTGAGCCTTCTTGAGGGGCTGTCAGGTGGGGAAGGACCTTTGCCATCCCCAGGGATGAGGCCTCTGGTCGGCAGGAACAGAAATACTCACAGTAAGTGGGGCTGAGGGTTTTCCTGGACCAGACCTGGGCATAGTATGGAATCCAAGGATGGTTGGACCCCCTGGAATGAGAAGGGTGGGAGGGGCTGGGCTTCAGGGGCCACTGGGACCTGAGCCCAGAGGTCTGCAGGAAACACTTGGCCTCTTGCCTCCCATGCTGGGCTTCTGGTCTCTTCCTGGTTTGTTCCATATTGTGGCAAACACGTGGCTGGAGGCTCCTGAATTTTATACATTACACCTTTGGCTACCAGAGAGATGGATTTTTCTTTCCCAGTTCCAGTTCCAGTAATCCCAGCAAAGTGCTCTGATTGGCCCAACTTGAATCAGGTGAGTCTCTCAGGATTAATCAGCTGGGGCTAGGGTCTTAGGGCCACATCGTACTAACACAACGGCCCTTGTGACAGCTGTGGGTGTGGAGAACTGGGAGTAGTTCCTAGAGTATTGGGCTAAGGGTAGCGTTGGTCTCCTCCCTCACTAAGCTCAGAGGGAGGTGTGACTTAGCTTTACTTATTAGAATAATGAGGGACTTCCCTGGTGGTGCAGTGGTTAAGAATCCACCTGCCAATGCAGGGGACACGGGTTCAGTCCCTGGTCCGGGAAGATCCCACATGCCACGGAGCAACGAAACCACTGCGCCACAACTACTGAGTCTGCGCTCTAGAGCCCGCACACTGCAACTACTGAAGCCCGTGTGCTCTAGAGCCCGTGCTCCGCAACAAGAGAAGCCACTGCAATGAGAAACCCTCACACCGCAACGAAGAGTAGCCCCCGCTCACTACAACTAGAGAAAGCCCGTGTGCAGTAATGAAGAACCAACACAGCCAAAAAAAATAAAAAAAAAAAAAAAAAAGAAAGAATAATGTACAGTTTCATAGAGGGGGGGGACATATGGATAGGGTTTTGTGGTATCAATAAGAGTTCACTAGGCAGAGCTGGAGAGTGAAGAAACCTGAGGGAGTGGCATGGAGATCTGGAATTGCTTGGGAACAACAAATTGTTCAACAAGATGGGGCATGGATCCAGAGCCACAATGATGGCGGGAAGGGTGGAGAGCCTGGGGGAGTAGCTGGGCTCTGGATGGAGCGGCCTTGGACTTCAGTCTGGAGATGATGGAGAGTTACAGGAGGACTTTAACAGGGTGAAAAGATCAGATCCTTCTCGTGGCACTGTGGGGATGGGCGGGTGGTGACTGGAGGCTCAGAGAGGAGGAGGGCCTTGCCCCCAGTGGCACGCTAGCTGGAGGGGACACCAGCATGCCTGGGCTCTGGTGCAGCCATCGTTCCCCCGAGTCGTGATCTCTGAGTCCCTCCTCCATGCAGGCCAGTGGCCACAAGGGACTTCCAGTGCCCCCAAAGCCTGGCTCTCCCTCCCCAGGCTGCCGGAAGTGCCAGGACCAGAGGTCTGGCTGGCCGATGGTGACCACCGTTGGCACTCCTGTGTGCGGGCGGGTGCTGGGTGCTGTAGCTCACTTGAAGCCCCATCCTCTGGGCAGGAGCTGCTGTGTGTCCCTTTACAGATGAGTAGATGGAGGCAGAGGGTTATGCTCCTGAAGCGAGTCACTCAATTCAACCGGGTCTGACTCGTGAGCCTGTGCTCTGACCATGTGCTGTGCTGGCCCCAGATCTGCCCATCAGGGTGCCCCTGATGCCTGGCCGCTGGCAAACTGCCAGGTTCTTGTTCCAGGAGTTTGACCGTGAAGTGAGACCCACAGAGAGAGGCGGGGAGCAGCGGCCACGGGGCGGCAGCCACGGGGGTATGGCCACGGGGGGACGGCCATGACGGCCTCTTCCACGAGGCTGCAGCCACAGGTGGAGCGGCTGTGAGGGAGGATGTGGGGCCCGGGAGGGTGGTGGGCGCCCCTCCCAGGTGCCCGGCCCGCTGCCGCCCTGCTCCGCTGCCTGCAGACCCCGCTCCTGCGGCTGCCATGAGGAGGGGCCCGGCCGCCCTCACCCTCCCTGGGCTGGAGCTGCCCTGGCCCCGTGCCCCAGGCTCCCTCCTCCCTGCTGGGCCTCCTGCACAAGAAGGTGTGGATGGCAGCTCCTGCTGGACCCGCATCTCCATTTAGATTGAGACGTGCTGAGCGGCGCATCCTCTGTCACTCCGAGGGGTTGTCGGGGGCCAGGAGGACGCCAGCGAAGGGCTGTCTGTAGGCTGTCAGGCCGGGCAGTGGGCATCCCCGCTGCATGCTGAAACGGTGATTTCCATCCTGTCCCTTGTCGGGGGGAGGCCACCTCCCCGTGGGCCCCCGACCCCCGCGTGCCGCGATTCCCGCTTACTAGCCCGGCTCTCCTGTGAAAGCGACCTGCTAATCCCAAGCGTTGCCGAGCGGGGATCTAACCGAGTTTTCTGGGGCGGGCGGCATAAGTTACTGGGCCGCCGTGGTTCCGGTGGGGCTGTTATTTATTTGCTTGCAGTGATGTAGTCGCGGCCTTGGCTGTGCGGTATTTATGGTGTTTGATCGACTTCCAGCTCTCCTGTCTGGGAGCGTTTGTTGAGATGTTCTATGGAGCCCCCGGTGACTCCCGACGCGGGAGGGCGTTGATCAGCCCGGAGTCCCGCGGCAGCTTGCCCCTCCCCCACCCCACAGGACCCCTGCACCTGGCTTGCAGGGAGCATCTCTCGGTGTGGTGGCCTTGGACGGGCAAATGGTGCCGCATCACTGATGCTGCCATGGGGCGTACACCTGCCGGCTGGGCTGCGAGTGCCCTGCGTGAATGTGACGTGTGCAATATGCCAGGATGTGTGATGGCTCCACGTGGACGGCTGCAGGGTTAGAGGCAGCCACACCAGCAGCCGTTTACTGAGCAGCTGTTACGCACCAGGCTCGAGTACAGACCCTTCACAGGGCTCTCTCCTTGAGTGCGTCCAGCAGCCTGAGGTTGGTGTCCCCGGTGGGAAGCCGAGGCTCAGGGTGGCAGGAGGCTTGCCCAAGGGAGCCCGGCCTGGGACTCAGGCTGCCCCTTCCTCTGTCTCTTCCGGTGAGAGGACCGCAGTCTGACTCTCTGGGGCCCGCCCCTCCCTTTCCTGCCCCTTTGTGTGTCTGCGCTGGTGGAGACGCTGCCTCTGAGGGGCTAATGCGGTTTTTGTTCTGGCCTGGAGGGATCTGATCGCTGTAACTCCGTATCCACTTGCCTCTATTTATCCCCCAAGCCTGGCCGGCACCGGGCAGCAGATTTCAGCGTCGGGCTTGATAAATTGGACGCGGGGCTGAAATGGAAGAGAAATCCTGTTTTTATTATTGCAGACAAAGCTGGCGGGCGGACAGCGTATGTTGTGTTGGCAGCCCCTCAGTGCAACAGAGGCTCAGGGCCTCAGAGCAATCAGGGCCTTTCAAGAGGCCCCCGCCTGCGTGGGAGGCAGAGACCCTATTAGCCCAGCCACTATGGGGGAGGGGTGACAAAGTGTCAGTGGGATGGAGGGGAGAAGAGTTGATCAATGATGGTCGATCGATTTGCATCTTTCCCCTTGATTTGGTGCGGAGCAGTCTGGAGATGAGGCCTGCGGAAGGGGCCGGAGCAGGGCCAGCAGAGGCTTAGCGGGTCTTTTATGTTGTGGAGGGTGGGGTAGGGAGCTGAGAGCTGCTGCTTTGCCTGACGCCTGGTGAGCATTGATCGATTCTGCGGGGCTGGGGGGGTCTTAACCATTTCACGGCTTGCTGGACTGTCCCAGGCGGGTGCTGGAGGATGCCCGGCCTCAGGTGCCCCTCAGCAGGTCTGCAGGCTTGCTGGGCTGTCCCAGGCGGGTGCTGGAGGATGCCCGGCCCCAGGTGCCCCTCAGCAGGTCTGCAGCTGATACTCTGCCTGGACTGGGCCATGGCCCGAGCCCACCCAAGGTCCTGGAGTTCTGGCCAAACAGGGCAGGGCACTGGGCTAGGAGCCTTGTGCTGATGGGCCAGAGCCAGACCCAACTAGGTTGACCAAGCACTCAGTGGGTGCCTGGCGCCCAGTGCATCTCCCCAGCCGCCTGTGAGATGGGTAGTGATGCCTCTGTAATTCTGAAGCTCCCCACCGTCAAGTGGCTGGTTCTCTGCCGGCCTCTCGTCCCCAGAATGACGCTGCCTCTCACTCCTGCCATGCCCTGATGGAGCGCTGACTTTTGTTGTGTCACTTAGCCCCCCTGACGCCCCTCTCCTCGTCTGTAAAATGGGAGTCATGACAGATGGGCTGAGAGAATTCAGAGAACAGGGACGGGTGTTTTGTACACCCCAGCCTCTACCATAAGGCCTGGCCTGAGTCTCAAAGTGGCTCCAGCTCTGCGTCTGTCCACTTTGGTGAACATTTCATGTTGAGAAGTCTGTTTGTTCCTCCATGGAGGGAAGAAATGCCATGCACTTTTCTGAATGGCTGTGAGAACCAAATGAGTTGATGCCTGGAAGTACCTGGCATGAAGTTGGTGCCTAATAAGAGACGACTATCATTATTGTCATTGTCAACATCACCACCACCATCACCACCGCCATCACCACCACCACCGTCATCACCATGGTCATTGCTGTGGTCACTGTCTTTGTCATTACAGTCACCATCGTTGTTGTCATCACCTTGGAAGATAATGCCTTTCAAGAAAAGAGGGTGGAGAAATGGGGCAACACAGAAGAGACGTGACAGAAGAAGGATAATATTAAGAAATAATTTTACGTCAAAGGAGTGAACAAGGAGAGAGGGAGAAATTGATAGTGCAGGAGAGAGAGTGCTGGTTGCAGGAGAAATACACCTGCCTTTTTCCTCTCTGTTTTCTTCTCAAGATTTTCCCTTTGTCATTGGTTTCCAGTAGTTTGACTATGATGTGTTTAGGGGTGCATGTGTCTGTGTGTGCCTGTTCGCCCTGTTGGGGGTCTGCTGAAATTCTCAAATCTGTAATTGACATTTTCTTCAATACTTTTGTAATACTTTTCAGGGTATTTGGCCAACCTAGCTTCAAAAATCTTTCCTGCCCTTTAAAAATATTTTTTTTGTGCGATATTTTATTTTATTTTGGCCACACTGCATGGCTTGTGGGATCTTAGTTCCCCGACCAGGGATTGAACCTGTGCCCCCTGCAGTGGAAGCACAGAGCCCTAACCACTGGACCACCAGGGAAGTCCCCTTCCTTTCTTTCTTAATTCCAGTTACACATATGTCTCAGGCCACCTCAGGCCATTGGGGCACTGTTATAAAATGTAGGTTTTATTATCAGTCAGGTATGGTGAGGCCACCAGATCGTGAGGCACCATTGAAGAGAGTTTGTTACTCACAGGCCCCAGGAGGCGGGGTCAAGCTGCACCGTGTAGGGCCACATGGGGAAGCCCCAGGGTCAGTCAGGAGGCAGAGGGAGAGGGAAGAACTGTGGGCAAGAGCCTTTACCCTTTCCATGGTCATGGCAAGGCCTGGTGAGCAGGCTGAGGAACGGCTTGTCTGGATAGTTTCAGGGGGCTGTGGGCATAGGGTTGGCCCTAGCTGTCGGCTACCTGGCCTCGGGGGTGGCTGGGGCAGAGGAAGAATGGGTGAGAGTGTGAGGCTCCAGTGAAGGAGGTGACTGGGGTATGGGTTCGGGACTGGTTTGTTTGTACGTGAAAGATGCACCTGAGTCATGTACTATCTCTTGGAATTGGCTGCCCTGGGAAGGGAGGTCATTCCAGGGTCAGCGAGGCCCCAGATGTCAAAGCAGCAGAATGGAAAGGCATGCTTAGTACAGATCCTCTTTATGTGCTAAAATTCTTCAGTCTCTTTGTTCTTCAGGTTGAATAATTTCTGCTGATCCACCTTTAATCTTCCTGAGTCTTCTACAGTCTCCAACCTGCTGGGAAACTTTTCTAGTGATTTTTTCCGTTCTGAATTTCTCTCTCGTTCTTGTTTATCATTTCTGTTTTTCTACTGAGGTTCTATAACAAATTACATAATATTTTAATTTAAACCCTGGACATAGTTATAATACCTGTTTTTAATGTCATTTATCTCTTTGCTCACCTATCCATTTTTTTACTACAAACTGGACGTTGTAAGTGCCCTTCAAAGAGCCTTAGACTTGGAGGCCAGGCAGTCACTGTGGTCTTCTGACCTCAGGAGGCCCATCTGAGGATGGTGTGGCCACACCATCCTCACGGGGAGATGTGTCCAGTGGGAGGTCAGGCCGAAGCCAGGCTCGGGGGACAGCGGGGCCCATGGCACCGGGCGTACGAGGAACGAAGCCACCCCACAGGGTCCCTGAGGGGGCCCTGCGCAGGGGGCCTCCGAGCCAGTCCTGAAGGCCGCGGGGCGGGTGGGGTCATGGGCGGGGCAGCTTCCACCAGGCTGGGGGCTCCCGCTGCGGCTCTCAGCACGAGCGGGAACGGCAGCCAGGACACCCCTTCCCCCCTAGCTGGCAGGCGAGGCCTCCCCTCCCCCAGGAGGAGGCTGGGGAAGGACACCAGGCTCCCGGGGCAACTGCAGCAATCAGCTCCTTGTCAGACAAAGAAAACGCTTCCTAACGTTCAGATTAATCATTGACCAGCACAGCACGTGCCTGATAGCTGCTCCCTGTCGGCCAACTCAGGCTCCCCGCTGTGGGCGCTGGCCGCGTGGCGGGACCCCCGGGGGGGCAGTGACACCTCCTCAGTCACCTTCTCAGTTTATTTGGGAGGGAAGCCCAGACACGCGGTGAGGGCGCCCGACACGAGGGTTTTTTCTGCACTGGGGACGGCAGGTCCCCTGGAGGCACTGCAGCTGCCCCCAGACAGCACCCGACACGCTGGCCTGGCACCGTGGGGTGGGAGCCTCAGCACGGGCCCTGTACCCAGAAACGCCCCAAGGTGCCCAAGGCTGGACCCGGAGCGACGACAGCGGCTGGAGATTTGCACCATGAGTTAAGCAGAATAAACCAAATCACAGAACAAAGTACGTTCTTCTTGTTTTTTTATTCTTATTTTACTGTAAAATACAACACTCATGCAGAAAAGTGTGTAAATCAGAAACCTACGATATAATAACTGTGAGTCTGTGCGAGCATCACGGGGTCCTGAAATTCCGCCTCCTCGCCCTGCCCCCGGCCCCTGCTCCCCCGCTGCGAGCTGACCCCTTGCCAACCGCATGGCCGTCACTCTGTGTTCTCCCTCTCCGGTCCCTACCTAAGTAAGCAGCCCTCCGAGAGCTTGTGGGGCTGTCCCTGGTGGCGAATTTTATATAAATGGAATGCAACGTGACTTTCCCTTTGTTTCTTTCACCTGACGTTTTGTCGTGACATCCAGCCCGTTTTTACAATATTTCTTCTCCCAGCTCAGCTTTGGTGTTCTCTGACCGTCTAGCCGGAATCCCCCAGCGTGAGTGGCTCTGGGCAGCTTCCTTGCACGAATACATCACAGTCTATTCGTTCATCCCCCTGCTGATGGAAAATTGGGTCGCTCCCCAGTTTGTCTGCCCAGAGCAGTACTGGTAAGAACATTCTTGCACTTGTCTGCTGCTGCCGGGTTTTCTAGGGAGGGTGAGTCCATCTTCAACCCTTCTAGAGAGTACCCATCTGTTTTTTTTCTCTTTTACTTAATAGACTTCTTCTGGGTGGTTTTCGGTTTATGGAAAAGTTGAGTGGAACGTGCAGAGCATCCTCACCCACGTCCAGCACCCTGCACTGGTATGTACACTCGTTACACGTGATGAGCCAGCACTGATGCACTGTTACTAATAAGGTCTGTAGCTGACATTAGGATTCACGCTGTGTTGTACATTCTGTGGGTTTGGGCAGCTGTATAATGTCATAAATCTATCACTATAGCAACATCCAGCCTTGTTTCATTGCCCCAAAATGCTGTGCTCCACCCGATCCTTTTCTCAAAGCGACCAGCGTCGATGGGGGCTGCCGATGTGCCGTACTTGGTATCATCAGAATTTACAGATTCTGCCCATTTGCTGGATGGGTAGTGGGATCCTGTTATCGTGGTTCTGTTGTGTGTTTTCTTGACTCCTAATGAGATCAGGCCCCTGTTTATACGTTTACTGCTCTGTGGATTTTCTCTTTTGCGAAGCGCCTGTTGGAGTCTTTCCACCGTTTTCAGACTTGCGCCGTCTCTCTTTTTCTTGCTGACTCTGCTCACGCATCCTCGGTGAGAGGCGCGAGCTTCTCTTCCCCCGTTGCGTGGGGCGTCTCCACTCTCATGACAGGGGTTTTCTCGAACCAAAGTTCTTAAGGTCAATGTGGGTGAATTTATTAATCTTTCTTGTTGGTTAAAGCTTTTAGTGTCTTATTTAAAGATCCTTTTCCTACTCAGGGGTCATGATGCCATGATCCTATGTTATCTTCCCAAAGCTTGGTATTTTGTCCTTTCCACTTGGGTCTGTAAATCTACTTGGACTCGATTTTGTGCATAGTGTAAGGAGAGCTCCAAATTCACGTTCCCCCTATCATTGCAAAGACTGTCTGTTCTCCAAGCTCTGGGCTCCGACCTTAGTACAGTCAAGTGGCCATCAACTCCCAACTCCCAGGTCTGTATTTGGGGTCTCTGTCGGCTTCTCTGTCCCGGCATCAATATCTCACGTCTCGGTAGCTCTGGGATGAGTCTGGATGCCCGGTAGAGCAAGTTCCCTGCCACTCTCCTCCTCAAGGGGCTCTGGGCTGGTCCAGGCTCTTTATAATCCCACGGACCTTTTAGAGTCAGCTTGTCAAGCTCCCCAGAGACACACAAACAAGCTCTGTTGGGGCTTTGGTTGGAATCTTATGGAATCAAAACTATTTGGGAAGAACCAGCGTCTTCACTCACTGTGTCTTCCAACACGTGAACGTGGCTTATGTCTGTTTATTCGGCGTTCCTTAGTTTCTTGTCGTATAATTTTTAGTCTTCTTTACTGAAGCCTTGTGTAGCTTTGTTAGATATATCCCTAGACAGCCAACCTCATCTGGTGCTTTTACATCACATTCCTCCTTGCTTGGTGATGTCACCGTGTTGCATTCCCAACAGTACCTGCAGATACACATTCTCTCCTCTGCTGTGTGAACTCTGCTGTCAGACCTGCCCGTCCGGTTCTCATTTGTGATCGTTTTTCAGATTTACACGTTTCTCTTTGGTTCTTTTGCAAATCTGCTCTGACGTGTCTTACAGTTTTCAGTCTCTGCAGAATTCGTTCTTTTATCCTTTAAAGGATCATTATTCCATATTTTGTGCTTATAACTCCAGAACCTAGACTTTCTGTGTGTGTGTTTCTGTTCTCTGTGTCTTTGCTGGCTCCTGATCACGGAGCTTGGTTTACCGTATGTGGGCTTGTCCTTGTTTGCTAGAGACTGTACTGGAAAAAGTTCTCATAGTAGTCACTTGTGCCCTAGGAAGGAAGATCCTTCCGTTAGAGATGGTTTTGGCTTGCTTCTTCCAGGTGCCGGGCGGGGCACACTCCACCTGGAACTATTTTAGGCAAAATCAAGCCCTGATGTTTGCTGGGTCAGGACGTTTATCACAAAGTGTGAGCCCAGGCAGGGCTGACTTGCCTCTGGTCCCCCTTGCCCTGAGCCGTGCCTTTGGGCTGAAAGGGCCAGGGCGTTGTCAGACCCTGTCTCTTACCAGCTCTGGGGTCCACTGAGCCAGTAAATCTTTAACAACCGGTTCTCCAAAAACACAAGCCCTGATGTAGAGCCTCTGCTGATTCCTGTGGTGCAAATACTCCCAGTGTGGCTCACGTCGAGCCACAGGCACAGCATCCCACTGAGTGCCGACGCCCACAATCAGCTCTTGTGAACCAGAGGAGCTACTCCAGCCACCACTGGGCAGCCCTCGCCTGCTGCTTCCAGGGGTCAGTCGGTGGCCTTTTGAGCAAAAGCAGATATGACTTCTGCTCACCTTGCTGGCCTCCTGCCTCCTCTGAGGTTGGGCCTGGTGATTCATTCCTCAGTGTCTGATGTGTTCTTTCATGCTTTGAAGAAGATTAAAACCGTTTGTATCCAGCTTTTCTAGTTGTGTTCAGTGGAAGGGTTGGTCCCGATCGCCTAACCTGCTCTTCCCGGCGGCGGACGTCCCCTGTTTCTGTTTTCAGATTAATGTCGGGTCGTGGTGGGAGAAAGAGGAAAATGAAGAAGGATAGAAAGCAACCAGCAGTGAGGACGCTAGGGATATTTTGGGCCCTTTTCCTCTCAGCCCGGGGCCTGCGCTGTGCATGGAGAGGGGCAGCTTTGTCCAGGGCAGGGCAAGACCAGGACATAAACGGTGGTGGCCACGGCTCCTGGCCTTGGCAGACCTCCAGCCTCTCTGAGCCTCTATCCCCTCAGCTGTCCAAGGGACCATCCTCTGCTTTCCTCGGGCCGCGGAGATGAGCCCACCCTCGGTCTGGCCACTCGCTGCTCAGGGGACATCAGGGGACGCAAGGATCCCCACGGGCAAAGCAGGTGCAAGCATACCGCTTGTGAACGGCCACAGGGACCAGGCCTTGCAACCCGGATTCCAGGGATCAGGCCAGCTGTCAGACTGTTTGGAGTCCTGGGTTTATGGGAAGCCCGAGCCTCGTGAGGGCCCAAGAATGCATTCCTGGCGGCCCAGGAATCGGAAAATGTGTCTCTGAGGGCAGAATTCCTTCCGTGGAGCACAGCTGCCTGGCTCACGTTTTCATCCTTGAGCCATAATTAGTCCTTGCCCCCGACCCCAAACTCCTGCCCAGGCCCAAAATACGCTGAGGCCGCTCCTGGTGGCACCGTGTCCCTCCTGCTCTCCTGTGGGCCGTGGCAGGTGGGAGAGGGGCCCGGGGTCTGCCCGGCTGTGGGCTGGGGCCGGCGCCCTCGGTGCTGGGACGGAGCGGGTTACCCTCCCTGAGGGAGGGGCTGTGGCCAGCTGCTGCCCCCAGCCCTGAGTGGGAGGTGAACAGACCACCAGGTGGGGAGGCTGAGGTCCCACGTCCTGGTCCCCGTGCGCAGGATGGCTGCTGGGGCCTGGGACGGAGGCGGCCGCTGGAAACGCCCACCCTGCCCCAGACACGCCATGGACACATCCCCCGGGCCGGTAGTCTTCCTCATGACCTGAGGCAGAGGGGACAGAGCAGGAAGCTGGGGCAGGGCTGCGGCAGGTGAGGGCTCCCTCCTGGGGGTGTTTTCACGGTGCTCTGACAAGCACCAGGCTCTGCTGTTTCCCCGCTGCCCACACTGACCGTCCTCCCTCCCCTTGGTGGGCAGCGCCGGAAGGGTGGAGAAATCGCCCTGTCCGCAGAGAGAATGTGGACACTGTGCAAGAGCAGCTGTGCACCCCCAGCCTCCGCCCTTCCCGGCCTGGCCAGGCTGTCCTCAGTGCCTCCCGCCGCTGTCCCAACAGCCTGTCGCAGCGTCCCTGTCACCCCCGCTCTCAGAAGAGGCGACCAGGCCTGCAGGTTTAAGCACCTTGGCCCAGCCACGGGCCTCCAAGCCGGTGGGCACACGACGTTCGCCGAGGGGCTGGCGTGTGGTCCGAGCCAGCGTCACCTTGGCCCAGAGCCCCTGCCCCAGGCCTGGCCCGTGGGCGTTTAGTGCACAGTGGTTTGAGCGCCCGGGTTCCTGGCATTGGACCAGCTGCATGGCGGGCACTGACCGCTGAAGGAGTGACCGGATGAAAGGAAAAGCCTGTTTCCAGGGGGAAACCAAGTCTCTGCGAGTCGGTGAGCTGGGTCTCTGGGCTCCTGGCTGGGCCCTCAGCCCAGAGCCCCCGGGGTCACTCGTCACACAGAGCACCAGGACACGCAGGGCGCCCGGAGAGGCCCAGGCGTGCCCCCTCCCCTTGTGTAGGCCTCGCCGTCGAGGGTGAGGGGCCCTTGTCCTGCTGGGAGGGGCTGCTGACGAGCAGATCCGCCAACGCCGTGGTGGCCTCAACAGGCAGCCCGTGCAGGATTGACACACGGTTCACGCACGTGGGGCCTTTGCGGGAGCTGCACGGACCCCCATGGAAAGCGAGAGAAGATTGTTTAATGCGTTGGCACGGAGTGTCAACACACCCAGCAGGACGGCTGCAGCCCGTCCCAGGGCCCAGCGGGTGGAGACGCAGAGGTGGGCGCTTTCCTGACTACGTGGCCGCCGGCCTGGGCTGCTGCTAGGACCTCAGCTGTGTCCTAATGCAGAGACAACACTGGTCACAGCCCCGTGTTGGCTCAGGGGCCGCAGGCGCCGGCACAGGAAACAGACAGAATGGCGAGCACGGGAGAATGCTGAATACCGTCCCCTCCGTCCAGGGGACCCCAGCCTCCTGCTTTCCTGGGTCTTCTCCTGATCGGGGCTCCAGGACACCCGGACTGGTCCTACAGTGTGCGGGATGTCATCGGGGCCTGGGGGCCTCAGAGGGCTGGCCTGGCCGGAATCAGGAGGCTGGCACCCTGCAGTGTTCCTGCTGTGTGTGTGTGGGGGGGGTGCGTGTGGTGTGTGTGACCCAACAGGGGACAGGCGTCGAGGGTCCGTTCTGCTCTGGGACCGCGCCTAGCGTGAATTTCGAGGGTAGCCTCCTGGAGCTGTGGTCCCAAGCGCTAGCAGCCGTCAGAGCCTCAGGGCCCCCAGAGGGTCTCCCTGTCACGGGGTCCCTGGTGAGGCCACCGTCTCTTCTCAGCAGAGCCAGGCCCGGGCCCAGGGCTGTGTGCTCAGAGAGATCTCAGCTCAGAGAGATCTCAGCTCCCACCCACACCGCTTGCCCTGCTGGACGCCCAGTCCTGTGCTGGGCCCCCCACGTGGACAGGGCGTGGCCACGCACGGCCTTGGGGAAGCGCCGTGCTCCAGGCTGTGGGCTGCTGGGTGGGCTCCAGGGTCGGGGGGCAGCTGTGGCAGGTTCGGGGTGCCTGGAGGAAGAGGGAGGGGCTGTCCTGGCCCCTGCAGTCGCCGCGAGGAAGGACTGGGGCTCCGGGACCCCGAGATGAGGGCGGAGAGCAGGAAGCCTTTGAGGTGCTGACGGTGGGGGGTGGGGCACCCGTCCTGGGACGCTTGGGTGAGAGGGGGCAGTGGTCCGCTGTGGCCAGGGATGGACATGCCGACGGGTCCCTCTGCAGAGGCTGCTGGGCGGGGCGGCAGAATTTCCCCGGGAGCTTCTGTGTCCTTCTCTGGGCGCCTCTCGGGGGCCTGCCGCCACCTGCCCAGGGGTCTTCCTGGCTGGGCAGCTGGGTGGGGCGGCGGGCCAGGCCCGGGCGGCAGGCTCTGCTCCGGGCCTGCGGGGCATGGTTTCTCCTGGGCTCTGGCTCTGGAGCTGCCACCGGCCCTCCCAGCTCTCCTAACAAGGGTTTGAAGGGAGAATAAATCCCAGCAGCCTGATTTGCACGTAATTTGTTCCTTTGTGGAAGTGCTATAGCTCTTAAAAGCCTTGGTAAATGCCTTTAAGGGAATATGACAGCACTAGACGGGGGAAAATCAATAGCCCCGATTCTCTTCTCAGGTTCACATTAGTGGAAACTCCCCGCTGCGCCTGGCAATTTGGATGTCATCGAAATCTGCCCCTCAGACGGCGGCTGGACACGGCTTGGCCCACGGGCTGGAGGGTCGGTCCCATGGAGCGCACCCGAGGTCCAGAGCAGAGTGGGCACGGGGCTGGAGGCGGGCGTGAGGTGCCTCCCACAGCCCCTCCCTCCAGCCCCGGGATGCGGGAGACCGGGGGGGCGCCCAGCCCTTTGCCCACTTAGGCTCCTTCTCCCTTACGATGCGCCGCAGCCCTGGAGGTGGAGGTCGCCGGCCTGCTCCCCCGGTGAGAAAACCAGCTCTACTGGGACAGAATCTTGCCCGCAGCGACCAGCCAGAGGGGAGCTCAGAGCCCCAGTCTTGGCCCGAGCCTTCCGTGGGGACGCCAGCTGTCCTCTCAAAGCTTGGGTGAGGCTGGGCCCCTCGGCCCGCCCGGGGTGGGCGTGGGAGTGGGGCTGCTCTGGCCCCCCTGCCGGGGACGTGTGCCTGGTTTGCCCACCCGCAATCTCGCCAGTGGAGGAGCACCGAGGAGATGCAGTTAATGACTTAAGCTGCCTTCTCATCACCCGCCAAGGGATAATCAGACTAAATGGCGACCTTAGTTTTGTAAAAGCCAATGAAATATACATAAAAGAATACTTGGGTGCTTTAAAGTTTTTGAAGCAGAAATGAACCAGTTACTTGCTCAAGGGTTGTTTCAGGGGATTTGTGCCGTGGGACCCTCCCCCAGTCGGGCGGAAGGAGCTGGGAGGGTGAGAGAGGAGAGCGGCACCTCTCCTGAGCTCAGGGGTCCCGAGCCTGGGGGTGGGCATCGTGGGGGGTGTTTCGTCTGCCCTCTGGACAGCTGTGCCTGCTGACAGCAGAGCGTCCTGCCCTCTGGGGCTCCTGTCTCCAACTCCAGGATGCTTCGGGAGTGATGGAGAGCTGCAGGGTAGCGGGGTACCTGGCGGGAGGTGAGTGTACGTTTTCCTGCAGTGCTTGATGCTGCAGCTGCCAGGCGGGGCCACGGGCCCCAAACATCTTGCAGAACCCTTGCGCCAACCCCCGGTGGTGCTGTTGCCTGCACATTTCAGTGGGGAGACCGAGGCTCAGAGGTGGGAAGGGACCTGCCCCCGGGGACCAGCAGGATGGAGACAGGGCCAGGACTGCCCCCCTCCCCCTGCCAGCCTTAAATCCCACCTTCTCTCCTTGCACCTCTGCGGGGAGGGTGTTTGGGGGCCTCATGGGTTTAGGGAGCACTTGCCGGGGGGCCGGGTGGGCAAGGCATGGGGACAGTGGGGCGTGGGGTCCCTGGAGCCTGTTGGGGAGCGGCCCGGGGGGGAGAGGCCTGGCAGGCGTCACGGGGTGGGGATGGTGAGGGTGGGAGTATGAAGTGCTGGTCCTGGGGTGGGCACGGGCTCCCTACTTGGGCAGCGGGTCCTGTGTGGTCCTATGAGTAGTGGCTGGCTGACCCAGAGACCAGAGGACTGGGCCGACCCGAGGGCTTGTCTGGTAGGGGCGGCTGAGGGTACCTGGGGCCACGGCGCAGTTGAGAGGGGCAGGAGGGGAGCCTCGTGGGGCAGATGAGGAGGTGAGAGCCCTGGGCAAGGTGGGGGTGCAGGAATGGAGGGGGGCAAGGGAGACAGGCTGGAGGAGGAGGGGCGAGGCCATGCAGAAGTCCCCAGTGATGGGGCCGAGGGGACACCGCTCTGGGTGAAGTGTTAGACTGGGTGTCCCGAGGGCCCTGCCGGCCTTCGCTTTCACTGGGTAAGGCAGCGCGTCCGCACATGCATGTACGATCCATCTGTGATTCATCATCAATCATCCATCCATCCACCAGTCCGTCCGTCCGTCCACTCATCCATCCACCCCTTCCTTCCTTCACCATGTTCACTAAAGCCTCAGCGAAGATGCTCCCAGTCTCTGTTGAGGAAAGGGGGTTTGTAGCTGAGAAGCGCCCTCCTCGTGCCTCATCTCACCCCCCAGAACAGTTGCCCTGGGGCCCTGCAGGCTCAGGCCTGCCCACCCCTGTCCCAGAGAGCGCTGGGTGGTGGGCAGGGGCTCTCTCAAGCCCCCTTGAGGTGGCGCCTGTGCAGAGGCCTGAGCCCGGCGGGGGCCCTTTGTTGGCAGACATTCCCAGCTGCTCCCCAGCTGCAGCCCAGCGCCTTTCCTCCCTGCCCCGTCTCTCCTTCCCCATTAACGCCCACCCCCTCCGCCCCGGACACCTTACAGCGGGGCCCGATGAGCGCATCCTGCCGCTGGCCAGCTCAGTCTGCCCTCAGTCTGCACGCAGCCCTTTGTCCGGCACTTTGTCCAGCCCTGACGGCCCCCTGAGCTGCCGTGGCCGGCCTGGTGGCTGTAACATCAGGGAGCTGAGAGACAGCTAAGGCGCAGCGCGGGCTCTAATTAAACCCCACTGATGCACGAGGCCCTGCTTGGCGGCTCAGCTGGCGGGCAGGCGGGCGGGTAGGCAGCAGGAGTGGCCTCCCCAGCACCCCCTCCACAACCCCGTGCGCCCTGGTCTCTGAGCTCAAGGGTGGCAGGGGCATGAGCGCCCTGGGGACCTCAGGATTCCAGTTCTCAGGAGCCTGCCTAGGACCAGAAGTGCTTTTTAGGTCAGATCCCCGGCCCAGGTGGTCCTCAAGCCTCTGTCAGACCCCCACGGTCAGTAGCGCTGACCCCCCGCCCCTGTGAGAGCCGCTGCTCCCGCCTCTGGCCGAAACCAGTGGTCCTGACGAGGGGGCCATTGGAGACCACCGATCCCACCAAGTGTTTCTCAGCAGAGAAGGGAGCCTGGCAGAACTGAGCAAATTGACGGTGAGCCCTAGGTGGGGACGGGCTCGCGGCACACAAGCTGGCTCCCTCCCTGGCCCCCCACTCCCTCCCCCTGACTCCTGGCTGCCATGCCTGGAGGGGCTGGGGAGCGTCAAACTTCGGCTGTCGAAGGGAGGTGTTCAGGGGTCACTCCACCAGCTGCTAGCTGGGAGGACTTGGCAAAATGGATCACTTCCTTGAGCCTCGGTTTTTCCACTCATAAAATGGGCACAATTAGGTTACTGGGAGGAGGAAGCCTGACTCTCTGGAATGGGTCTGGCCTATAGCACCTGTGGGCAGTGTCCTCTCCTCCCACATAGCCGGGCCCCTGAAGCCCACTGCCTCTGCGGACCCTGCCGCTCCGCTGCCTCGGCTGGCCCGTCGCCCGCTCAGGCTGGGCACTGCTGACCAGGCCAAGCCCTCTGCTGCTGGTGTGCCTGCTGGGCCTCCCCGTCTCTCACCGGGCCTGGCTGCAGCTGTTGCCCTGGGGTCCCGGCTCATCTGATCAAGGGCGGCAGAGCAGGCTGCTCAGCCGACCTCCACCCTGGTCTTTGTGCTGGGGCTGCAAACTCAGAGCCTGCAGGGCTGGGTGAGGCCAGAGAGTGTGGTACCGCGCAGAGGGTGCCGCAGCCTTCACTGGGTGCCAGCCGATGGCTCTAGGATGGCCTGTGCAGCTGGAGCTTCCAGTATTTCAAGAAAGCCTGGGGCTTCCCTGGTGGCGCAGTGGTTGAGAGTCCGGCTGCCGATGCAGGGGACGTGGGTTCGTGCCCCGGTCCGGGAAGATTCCACGTGCCGCGGAGCGGCTGGGCCCATGAGCCATGGCCGCTGAGCCTGCGCGTCCGGAGCCTGTGCTCCGCAACGGGAGAGGCCACGGCAGTGAGCGGCCCGCGCACCAAAAAAAAAAAAAAAAAAAGAAAGCCTGAACTCTGGGCTTTGATCTGAAATCTGCTTATAAATGTCAGCAATGAGTGAATGTGTTTAAACACAGTGCAGTGGAGATGGATACGCAAGGAAACAGGAGGGGTTAACAGTGTTACCTGGGGAGGGGGTGGGCTCCAGGATGGGGGGAGGGGAGGGGAGGGGGAGGCAAGCAAACCTAAGGGGCTGAGTTGAGCCAGAAGGGCGTCCAGCATCTTACCCCTAGCGCAGAGCTGTGAGTGTGTGTGCCTGTGTGTGCGGCATGTCTAAATCTTCATTAACACCCTGCCTGCCCGTCTGACTCCACGTGGCTCGGGGGACCTGGAGGAATCAGCTGTGCCCCATCCGTGGAGCAGCCAGCGTGCAGGGGTGCAGTAGGGGGCCCTTAAGGATACGGGGACGGGCTGGGTGGCGCGGGGGCTCCCAGGAGAGGGTCCTCAGCCTCGTTGGGGTCACTGAGCCTGGGCAGGGGCTCCAGACGCCAGCTCCACGCATGCAATTTCAGACTTAATCCCGGCAAACCCCTGGGGCCGAGGGAACGTGTTCATCAGCTTTGGGGAGCGTGCGGCAGCCCCCTGGTGTGTGTCTGCCCATCGCGCTGTGGGCTTATAGGGTCGGGGCCCTGCGGGACTCCGAATAGCCCCCAAAGGAGGCGGCAGAGTTGGGGGCACAAATGCTGTTTCTTTCTGCAAGAGGCACTTGGATGCCCGGGTTTGCTGGTGGGTGGGTGTGTCTGTGTGTGTTTCTGAAAGTGTGTCTGTGTCTGTTTCTGTGTGTATGCTTGTGTGTGTGTGTCCGTGTGAGTTGATGCCTGTGCAGAGTTGTGGGCAGCGGGCCAGGTGCCTGGAGGCCAGCCCCAGGTCTCGGCAACTTCAGCCGGACACAGGGAAGAGGGGAGGTTGGCCTGGGAGGTGTGGGAGAGGGGCCGGGAGGGTCAGAACTGAGGGCTCCCCAAGGCACAAAAGCCACGCTTATTGGTGTAGGCGGGAAACTTGAGGCAGAGTCAGAGGCTGGGAGACAGGAGAAAGGGGGGAGTGATGAGAGCCAGGCTGGGTGGAGGGAAGGTCTGGGCCTGGCTTATCTTTTTGTAAAAAGCCATAAAATCTGCCAAGGCCAATTGTGGAGGAGAGGGTGCTGGGCTGGGCCCTCTCCCGCCTCCGCCACCCCCGCAGCCAGAGTGCCGCCCCCTCCTCTAAAATATGGGTGCTCAGGACGCTATTAGCCCCAGGCAGCTGTCGTTTTCCAGTCCATCTGCTAAATCTACGCTTCTGAGAAGACGCAGGTCCTTAGCCAGCGCTGAGTGGGATTCATATAAAGGTGGGAGAAACCCCGCTTCCCTCATGTCAAGATGTCAGAGCCTGGAACATCAGCCTCACCCTCTCTGACAGCTCCGTCCCCGGACACCCAGCCTTGCTGTACCTGAGACTCCACACAGCCAGAGATCACCTGGCCTGGCCTATACGCACCTCCAGCCTTTAAAATATTGTGGTGAAATATACATAACCTCGTAGCTGTCATCTTAGGTGTACAATTATTCAGTGGCCATCTAAGGCCTTTCACAGTGCTGTGTACCCGTCGCCGCCAACTGCATGCAAAGCTCTCCATCATCTCTCACAACTCTGCCCCATTAAACACTGCCCCCTCCCCCCCCCCCAGCCCCTGGCACCCACCTTCTACTTTCCGTCTCCATGAAGTGACTCCTCTAGGTACCTCATATGAGTGGAATCATACAGTATTTGTCCTTCCGTGACTGGCCTGTTTTACTTAGCATGGTGTCCTCAAGTTTCGTCCATGTTGGAGCAGGTGTCAGAGCTTCATTCCTTATTATGGCTGAATCCTCTTCCACCGTATAGATGGACCACATTTTGTTTATCAATTTATCCACCCGCGGACACTTGGGCTGCTTCCACCTTTTGGC